CCCTTCAGACACGGGAAGCTGCTCGGAGGTCTCCAGCAGCTTCTCTTCTCCAGGCTGAACAGCCCCGATGATCTCAGCCTGTCTCCATTTGGGAGCTGCTCCAGCCCCTGAGCATCCTCGTGGCCTCCTCTGGACTTACTCCGGCAGCTCCATGTCCTTCCTTATGCTGAGGACACCAGAGCACAATGGAAGCTTCCTTTGCTGTTCATGGGTTAAGCTGGTTCCTCTTTCTCCCCCCACCCCACAGGTCCTGAACCTCACCCGCCGCTGCATCCAGAGGCACCGGGACTTTGTGGTGCCACTGCTCATCAAGTACAGCTCAGAATGGCTCCGCTCGGGGTATCCCATCTTCCGGCCAGCCTGGTGGCTCAGCCCCACGGATCCAGCCGCTTTTACCATCGAGGATGAGTTCCTCATTGGAGATGAGGTAGGGAATGTGGGGCTGAATGCCCTGCCAGGGTAACTGGGGCAAATACGGTGCCTCCTGAGCTCACCCATCCATCTCTTTGCATCCTACCTGAGTGCAGCGCTGGGGTAGAGCTGGTTTGGAACCACAGGGCTGGTGGGACCCTGTTGGTTCCTTCAGCTTTGCAATTTATTCAAAATGAAGAGTTGCCAAGGCTTTTCTTCCTTTCAGTTTTCAGTATCAGGGTATTTTTCAATCCTTTCTGCTGGTAGATGCCTCCTGACAGTCAGCACTGCTCTTTTACCCCCTTTTCTCAGGCTATTCATCCCATTACTTGGAGCTACAGCCCACAAGAACCAAGATGCAGCTCAATATGCAGCTCCCTGGTCCTCTTGGGCAGCTCCTTAAGCCACGTTTAGGAGCTCAACAACCCAGAGCAGATGGGGAGCACCAGAGACCACTGAGCCTGGGGCTGAAATTTAGGGTCACATCAGTGTCCCAGCTGAGCTCACCCAACCACATGCTGCCTACAGGATTTACCTACTCGAATGTGTGTTTTACCCTGTGGGCAGCTGTTGTGAAGATTTATTCAGCCCACATGAGGGGTGCGAATGCAGGCCATCAGATTTATAAGGCCAGAGGAAGTCAGGTGAATGCTATGAGATACCTTGTGGCTTAGGATGGAATGATGGTTTTATCCATTTCCTAATGGAGGTTTAAATGTGGTTGGCTCTTTTCCTGCAGCTTTTTCCTCTGCTTGGTCAGGTTTTGGTGGTTTCATGCTGTAAATACTCCCTGCAAGTCTGGGGTGCTCACACTGTGGTTGCGGCTTGTGTAGTGGGAGTTTCTTCCTGCAGGTGCATCCCTTTATCCCACTGTTGCTCCTTTTGGTGGCCTGATGTTTTATGTGGTCTGTGCTGCTTCAAATCAAAAGCTTGGAAAAGCAACTCAGGCCTTTTGAGAAAGACTCTTCTTAAAGGAACTGTCCCTCATCCTCCCATGGTTGTAAGGAGACCTCCTTTTGTGCAGTGGCATCACTTGTCTTTGTCCCTCCTGCTTTGCCCCGATGCAGGATCCCAACAGCTCAAGAGTTTGGCAGTTCCTACCAGGGCTTTTTACTCCATTAAAAGCATAATCCTCATTTCATACTATTGAATTTATTTTGCAGCAACACATTGGGCTGTCTTTACATGGGGATGCTGCTAATCATGGGGACATCATCTCCCTACAACTAATCCCCAACCCAAGAGCAAAGCTCAATAGGAGTTTGATTCTTGGTTTAGTAGAAGAGCAGCTCATGCTGCAGGGGTACCTTTCCAGGCTCTGCTTGCAGCCTCCAACAGATATTGCAATTCCCGATTGCCACATGTGGGTTCCCACAAAATATTTATGGATTTATTATTATCATCATCATCATCGTCATCATTATCATTATTATGGTGGAAAATTTCACTGCAGGAGATCAACTTTTGGTGAAGGAGCAGAAAAGCCTTTAGCAGAGAGCTCAGATAGAATCATAGAATCAACTAGGTTGGAAAAGACCTTGAAGATCATCAAGTCCAACCCAAATTGGGAAGCTTTTAGAACACAAATCCTTGGCATAAAGGAATTTTATAGCAGCACTGTGTGAGCTATAAAGTCAGAGGAAGCCAATTGCCCCTGTCCCAAGGTTGCTTGGGCTCTTATAGGGGTATTAGTTCTGAGTAAGCTTAAACTTAGTCCCTTCCCTAGAATCTCGAACTGAAAACCCCTGATGCACTTGAGCCAGGCAGGGCAGAAGTGTGCTCTGTGTTAGGTGGGATTCCCAGTACAATACTGCAAACTCGGGGAGGAAAGACAACAAAGGGTCAGAGCAGCTTTGCCCTCCTCTCCCGCAGGAGGTGCAAAGCTCTGGCTTGGCTGAACACTCCTAAAATACGGTAAAATGTGGTGTCTGCTCCGTGAAGTTATCCGGGCCAGGCAGCTGTGATAAAGCAGAATGTGAGGCTGGCAAGAAGCTCCCCTGGGTTCGGATTTTAATCATTATTATTATTTTCCAAAAGAGCCTGAGCTCGTGTGTGGACAGCCCAGATGGGGAATGGTTCGATTCCAAGTTGGGGTTTGGAAGCTGGAAGAATAGAAACATGCTCCAAAGCCAGCTTCGGTGCAGTCTGGAGCATCATTAATTATGAACTACTGTGAAATACACAGGGTGGTTCTGTCCTGGTATGGGCTGAGGCAGGACTAAGTGTAGGACACTGGGATAAACCCTCTGAACATCGTCCCCCAGCGCAAGCAGCTGCCACAAGTGCTGATGAACATGGCCCTGGTGTCCCTGCACACAGTTGGAACTGGATGGGCTTTAAGGTCCCTTCCAGCACAAACCAGGCTGGGATTCTATTCCTGATGCCCTCCTGCTTCTGAGTTCTGAGGTATTTTGGGGAGTCACTTTGGGCTGGGATAGCCCTGCTCTGAAATCCAATTGTCAGGCTGCACTTTGTACGTTCATCACTTCCAGATCTCTTGGCGCATTCAACCTGAATCAGGCCAGGCACTACATCTGGTAAATGTGCAAGAATGTTCCACAAGCAGGTTTTAGGTCAGATTTTTGCTGACTATGAAGGGAAATCAGCATCATCTCCCCTTGAGCAGACAGACAGCAATGCCTCCGGGTGTCTGCGAGCAGCTCTGGATGCAGTGGTGGGGACTGCAGTGGTCAGGGTGGTTTTGATCCTTGAGGTCTTGAAGCTGGATTCATCGCTGCACAGCCACATCCCGGCATTGCTCATGAGCAGATTTCACTCCCGGGAAGGGAACTGGAGCAGACCACTACTGAATCCTTCCCGCAAAGCATGTTGAAATGTAGTAGCAAAGAGCCAAGTTGTGCTGATTTGGCAAAAAGATCGTGGCGTGTGGTGGTTTGCGGCTGCTTGTCGGTGCCATCTGCCTGGCGAAAGGGATGCTGCAGGAGGCGGGGAAGCCAGGTCCTGCTGCCAAAAACGTTTATAAAGGCCAGGAGGGTCTGTGCCAAAATGAGCCAAACATCAGGGCACCTCCCTGGGATGCTGCTGCTGTGCAGCTCCAGGAGCATCACTAAGGGGTGCAGGGATGAATCCCCAGCGCTTGCTCTTTGCTGTTAACCAGGACCTCGAAAAATGGGATTTAAGAGGGGGATTGATCCATGAATTTCATATCCAGTTTTCATTATTTAGCCTTCCCCCC